ATTACTTCTCAGTAATATATGCATATTACAATACCTACTGTTAAAAAATAATAAATTTATATTTATATATGACGGTACTAAATGTTTGTAAAATACTATAGAAAATTAAAATTAGCGATTCAGCATATAATCGCTTAGCATATGAACGGATAATCTGACAACTGATAAGTAACATAATGTTACGTCAACATTATGTGCCAATTTGTAGACAGAATGATTCCTTGTCACTTAAGGTAGGTTTTCTAAGCTGGGACTAAGCAGTAACGACCACGTGATTTACTGCTCTATAACTCTATCATAATAATCATATAAGCCTTGTCGTGATTTCTCCTAAGTCCGATCGACGAGTGCTTGTCAACATTAGTCGTTGTGTTTGATGATCGTAGTGCTCTGGAAGCAGTGTATTATTTGCGTGGCGTTTCGATTTTATTCCAAATGAAACTATTATATATTTTTATAAACGAACTTATTCAATAGAATAATATCAAAAAACTTTATTCGCTTCAACTGACGATGAACTCTATGTGGAATGAGTCTTATATATATAATTGAAGTATACATTATTTCTCCTTCTTTCTCCACTTTTAATAAATATATGACTACTTTTATTATTATTTGTAATTACTTGTTCCATTTTTAGTGATCAATAACGGTAGATAAAAAATAAAATTAGCGTGTGCACAATGAAATATCGAGCTGAACCAAACTAAACTGAAAATAAATGCCCGCCGCAACATTCAGTCTTGGAGTAGGAAACCAATATACGCTCAACGATCAGTCGTTGCCGCTAGTCACAGCTCAGAAACCGTACCTTTAGATAAATGTATTTTTAGCTAAAAAATACGATTCATGTAATCAATTCAATTGTTCGTAATTTAATATATCAATGTATAATTTCTGTAATGTTTGATTGTCCCATACTAAACAGTAAAAACATTTTGTTTAATTTTATTTCAGCTCGAATAACTTCTAGTAGCTTTATTTTTTAAATGATTGTATTCGATAAATTAATTAATTTTCACATGTTTGCAATTTTAGGAATCAGCGATACTTCCAGATGGAAATTTTACGAACCTTTTGGTAAAATCGCTCCAGGAATTTAAATGTATGTTACCTACTATGATGTTCGGTATTGCTATGCCTGCAAAAGCAAATATCATTATTAATAGTAAGCTTATTACATTACAATAAATTGAGAACGATGATTATATTTTTGGACCCAAGTTAAATAACCAATTTATATAATTTTCATCAGGATTATGAACTTTCAGTATTTTGTTTCACAAAATTAACTTTTAGAGACTTCCTGAATTTTCTATTTGACGAATTTGCAGAATATAATTATAAATTGTATATTTTTTTCTTTATTTTACTCTACATATTTGTAATTCAGTCTTGTTGTTCATAAAAGATCAATTTTCTCTAAATATATGTGAAATACTTTTCGATCACTTTCAAAATTAACAATCATATTTTTTATAAATATAAATGTATGTAAAATCTAAACTTGTTTAGTTCTTCATAATTCGTCTGTATCATGACAGTTATTAATACATAAAATTAACACCGACTTTTTTGCTTTCAATTTTAATCTAAATGGTCTTGACATCAACACATCTATACCATATCAATGATCTAAATTATCATATTCAATTATGTTAGTATAGGGTGACCAGACGTCCCGTTTAAAACGGGTGTTCATGCCAATATGCCATTTTTTTATTGCATGTGTGTATATTTGTTCTCGTATCGAATCTTATCACGCGTATGCCGTGCGCTTGACGACAGCAACAGCTTTTGTGGGGTGACCGCCCAGTACGCCCGTGAGATCGTTACTCTCCGTGATTTTGGTTAATGAATGTTACCATTTTCGTGGGATGCATAGCGGTGCGTTGCGTATCCGCAGCCATCGTTAGCGGCGGTGATAAGCCTCCGTTTGCGACCGGCCGAGTACGTAAGCGCATTATTATCGTCACGCGTAAATGTTCGTTATTCCACGTTTTCATTATTTGTCGGTTATGTTTCAAAAAAGTTGATAGTCATGTTCTCCGTGCCACTAGTTTTTTTCAAGTTCCTTTGTTTTCAATTTTAATGTCATGGCACTCAGGCATTTTATTCTTCATGTGGCGACCGGTGGCTTGTGCCTTCGTGGTAACGTTCATCGGCCGATATTCCTTCTTCTCTTTCTGTTCTTGTCGTCTAAACTACATCTACCCGTTTTTTTGTTCCTGCTGCAGCTATCAAATCACGTATTTACTTGTGTTGTTCGCCTTACGTGAATTCTTCTGTCTGGTAAAAAATCGTTCGCGCATAAATAAATAGTTTCCTCTTAGTCTAAAGGTTAGGTTGATTGCCAGCAAAAGATTGTGAGTTTCGTGTTTTGTCGAGTTGTGTGTACGCTGCAACAGCCATTGTGTTGTGAATTAAACATCGTGTTGTGGTTGGCGGCGCTCTTGAGTATGTGGGGGGATCAAACCTGTACTTTTTATTGTATTAATACGATTATCAAACGGATCCCGGCACCTCAAGACGTCATAACCTCAAAAGGTATGTGGTGCACCAACCTTATAATTATATTGGACCGGCGGGTCATATATTGGTATTTTTATAATTATTGCGCCTATTGGCATCTGTTTTATTATTGTATAACTATTACGCGTATTGGCCCCTATTGAATGATATATTTATTTAATTATTGTGATTATACTGGACCAAGTGGTCAATCATTTTATTTATAAACTTTAATATGTCTATAACCAAAAACAATTGTCTGTTTTTTTTTTTTTATTATTATTATTATCACTAAGGACGGTAGCTTAAAAATTTTTTATCCTCCCGGCCGTTAAGGCTCATTAATTTATTATTTATTAAAGCCGAACGCGAGCCAAACAACGGGATTGTCCTTTTTTTGATCATTACATCCAGAGCCGGATTATGGTTTTTAGGGCCGTAAGCACATTCATATAAATGGCCTACACATAATTTTCATACACTTAAAAAAATTAATTTTATTTTCAATTATTTATTAGGTATCACAAATAAAATTAAAATAATTATAACTTACATTTAAATCTACATTTAAAATTTTGAATTCTTATATTAATTTTCTTTATTATTACATTATTTTATTATTAATTACTATATATATATACTAAATATCATGATTATTATAATTTTGTTTATTTAATATTATGTGCATCTTTCTTGCTTTTTGAAATGAAAAATCTTCAATAATTATCTCGTAATTTATAGTCTTCACAATTTCACTTTCTATAGACAAAATGGCCAAATAGTTTAGATGTTCTTGTGTTAAATTAGATCTTAATGCATTTTTTTATTAATTTTAATCTTGAAAACGATCTTCTCCACTACAATTGGTGCACATGAGTGTAAGATATAACCGTCAAGTTTTTTCTACATTTGGAAAGCATTCCAAAACGTTTAAGTTTAAAATTATTTTATATAAATTTATAAATTTATCAATAGAATTATTAGAAGTATGGGCAGAGATAATGATGAAAACGTAATAAATTGTTTGAACTCATCTTTAAAACTGTGTGGAAAATCTATAGGGTATTTTTTTACATAAGTTTTTTCATTCCTTCTTCAATATGCTCAGATTTCATTTAAATCGAAAAGTTTGATAGCAGCCTAAAATTGTTTTCAACTTCTTTATTTGCATCAATTCTATACTGCAAAGCGCTATTTAATTTATCAATAATAACATAAAAGGTTTGAACTTTAAATAACTCTTTATCTGTAAACACATATGCAGTTTCATTATCACACCTTTTTTTACGTTTACGATTTTCAGATGATTTATATTATTTATTCACAGTTATTTCCATACCTTTAAATTTATAGTTATCATATTTTCCTCAGATCTGGTCAAGAACACTTTTCAAACTTTTACTACAAATGTTAAATGTTCCTAGTATATCATTTCATAATTCACAAATAATATCAGTTTCTAATGTACTCATTATTCCTATCAAATTACGTGACTGTTGTCATGTAGTTTGTTTTTGAAATTCATAATTTTTTATATATTCCAGAGCTGTATAAAAATATCTTTGTAACCTATTGACAAAGCATTAATGGATTCTGCATTTGCACTCCATCTAGTTTTGGCTATTGACTTAGGAACTTGGCATTTACTATCTAATGATTTTTTTAAAATTGACCATCTACTTTTCGATGCGGAAAAAAAATTATAAAGTTCCTGAACAAACCCGAAAAAAGAAACAGTTTTTACGCAACAATCTACTGTCGACTGACCAACAAGGTTCAGTGAATGCGCTGTACATGGTATAAAGTCTGCAAATGGATTTTAAGCTTTTATAATGGCTTGCATTCCTGAACAAGGTCCGCTCATATTACTTGCATTATCATAACTTTTACCACGACATAAATTAATATCAATTTCATTGTCAACCATAAATTCAAGTAAAATTGATGCTAAATATTCACCTGTATGATTTTCAATATTAATAAAAGTTAAAAAACGCTCAACTGGTCCATTACATGTAACATATCGTATAATAATTGTTAATTGATCTGTGTGCGAAATGTCCGGAGTGGAATCAACAGTAATTGAATAATAACCAACTAAATGGTAGACCACGTTCGGACAAAAAAATAATTGTTTCTATTAATCGTTTGAGTACATTTTTCCAATAGTCACGCGTTTCAATTATTTGTTTTTCTAGTTTAGTATTAATTTTGTTAGTATTATGAGTCCTTTTAATATATGTACTAATTACCAAAATATGTTCACTTTTCTTTACATGGATTTCTATAATTTTATTAATATTTTTTCCAATCATTATATCAGTCACACATAACATCGGATTTTGAAAACAAAAGACAGTAAAAACAGTATACCATTTTTTTTTAATGGCGAAAAGAGTAGCCATTCTCTATAACATTTTTCCCCGTTTGGTTTCATATAATAAAAATTTGATTTTTATAAGTATCTATTTGTTTTATCTTTTTCATAATACTTTGTTGATAAAGAAAAATCTGCATTTAAACTTTGATATTCAAATGGGCCTTTTTTCTACAAAGTATGACACGAATTCTTTTGAATTAACATTCCAAGTACCAGGATCATTCGAAAAAATCACTATATCATTATTTGCACAATTTTCATTTTTTACAAAAATATTAATTGTTTTACTATCATCAATACTAGAAGTAGAAGCAGTAGTATTTAAATTATCCGATTCTAAAGTAATTTTAAGTTTGAAATATGAAGTAAGAGGAATAACTTTTTTTAAAACTTCCGTTTATTTTTTTATTTTTTATTTGAGCATCTTTTAATTTCTCTCATCCTCCTTTAGATTTCGACATTATATTTTCTATATAAAAAAAAACTATACAAAAGTATTGCATTCTAATATGATAAATTTATAATATGATACCTATATAATATACAATTTTCTCCTTCTAATATTGTCTATAATTTAAGTAATTAATTTTAAATGTATTTAATTAAGCATACCTGTGTCTGTGTAAGTGTAAATGTAATAAATTTGTGTAGTATTTGTATTCTGTTTATGGAAATTGGAAGTACGCTTACACTTTACAAATATTAACGAATGTAGTAATTTGCGAACGAGTATAAAACTATCTAAGTTGTTCTTGTGTGTGTGGCATGTCACTTCACTGTGATTTTTTACCTAAATGGTTATAAGTTATACGATTATAATAATAATGATCTGTGTATGCCTGTATTTGTCGTATCAAAATATTTGATAGAAATTTAAAGAAAACCTCAAGTAGCGATAGTATTAAACTAATAAACTTCTGAGTACTAATCACATCATAAAGGTAAATTAATATGATGAACATTAGTTGGAATAACAAAATAATTGATACAAATCACAGTTACAAGTTTACATCAAATTTGATAGCCATAATGTTAAATTATTTATGATATAAAATCATAAATTCGTAACCACTCATGAGAAAAAAAATTCTTAAATTTTATTTTTAATATATATAAATTTGATTTTAAAAATTATGGGCGGAATTTTTTTTGGGTCTTAAGCAATTTCTTATTTTGCCTACCCTTTAATCCGGCCCTGATTCACATCCCGTTGTCCCGACAAACTTCGAATAGGATGCTTTAAATCTCGTTATTTCCATATTAGACAGGTGATGGTGTAAAATCTTCATAACTCTTGTAAAAAAAAGTGTAAGAGTACTCCCAATTCTATTATACGCATATAAAATGATTTTTATACTGTTATGAACCTTTGTCTGCATTAGTTGGTAACTAAGCATTTTGTTAATGTGAACGGGCAGAGACACACGGTGACACGGTTTAGAAGAATTCGCTAAGCGGACAGTTTTGAGACCCAGCGAGCCACTACCGTGTCTTGCTGTCTGTATAAGAATCAGTGTGTTACTGTCATGTGTGAGCATCGGGAAGAGCCTCTGTTACTTAAATCCGTCTAATTATGTTAAACATAAGTTTATATTAATTTTTAATTATTTTAATAAAGTATAGGGATAACTTAAAACCACGCATTAATTATTACATGAACAAAACAGTTGTGGAGACGTCCATAACAATACATTGTTTATGCGAAATAATAGTAATTTAGAAAAAATAAAATGAAATCAATGATTTTAATAGAATTTTAACGTCAATAATAATCGATTTTCAACTATTTATTTATACTTTTTTTTTTTTTCAAGATTATACCTTTTATACTACAATTTGAAACACTAAAATATCATTATTACTGAATATGTTATATATCCCATCACAAAATATACGTGTTTAAATACTTAATTTCCAGGTCTTATGTGCATTAACAACTCTTTAAGAGTTTTGGCTGCCACCGTCACTGATCTCAAATAATCACGATCCTGTACTTGTTCCTCCTAATCTGTTACTTCTAACCTCTTTAAATCATGTTGCACCTCATCCATCAATTGTTTCTTGGGTTTGCCTCAGGGTCTTTTGCCTATTGGCTTGTATTCAACAGCTGCTCAAATTTCATTCGTTTCCTCTCGTCCCATTGTATGCCCAAACCATTGCATTCTTCGTAATTTTATGTAACTTGTTATGGGAGTTACTTTGGTCATCTCCTTTATTTCTTTATTTCTTTTGATCTATAACAGATATTAACGTTCTTATTATTAACTACTCGTATGAAATAGTTTTGAATTATCTGTTTATTACGATTAAAATATTTTGTCTGTTTTAAAAAAAATATTACTTCAAGTACATTAAAAATTCGGTTATACAGGTACAAATAAAAATGTACAAAATATAATTGTAGGTGTTATTAGATCACATTTTATTTTCGGAAGTTCAAATATTACACTATTATACACGTTTAAAATAAAAAAATCTCACTCGTGTCATATCTATGATTGTGGAAATAAACATTTTTTATAACAGAAGAAAACTACTCGTTGGCTGATTTATGGGACGATGATGTTTGTAAGATATGTGTAAGTGATATAGGACAAGGATTGATATTGGATAGAAATTACGATTTCGATGACCAGGGTTCCTATATCTATTTTTTTAGTGGTTGCCAATAGTTAATAATAATAATTTCAGAGAAACGTGTCACGAAATTAAAATATTCGCTAATACTAAAAAAATAAATATAGAAAACATTATTTGTAACACTTCTAAAACTGAATTAATGTAAATGGTATTTAGGCATTCAATAATTCTAAGTCTGTATTATATTACACTATATTATACATTTTTTATGTTACAAATATAATTATACTCAAGGCTAAGTTCTTATTTATTTATTTACTTATGTTTTTATTTCTAAATATATATTTATATATATTGTTTGTTAATTTACGTTCATATTAAATAGCAAATTATTGTTCTATCAAATTTATTAATATAATGGTTTTGTTTAGAACAGCTGTAATTTTACAGTTGTATAAAACATGTATCATGATCTAATGGCTATGGGTAACATTTCAGTACATAAAACAGCAATTTTTTTTACAAATATTATTAAATTACAACTCAATTATAAGTGTTTTTTTCAGGTTACAATCTCACATATCTAAATAATTATGTCGACTTCTACTTACTTAAAGCTACGGACCCTACTGGATGTATGTATAAAAAGCATCAAGACGAAATGGACATTATGATGCTGCCAAATGCTATAGTAGGGAAATACACAATTAAATAACGTATTTCATTGGTCCCATGTTTTTAGGGGGCGGAAAATTAATTCAAATATTACCATAAATGGGTATTACACATCAATAAAAGTGATATACTCGTATTATAAATGAAATTTTATTACTGATTTAAAAACAGACAAGGAATTACGTGAACATAATTTACATTCTGCTTTTTCTCCTTCGTCTTTATCTTAATTATTTGAGGCTGAACACCAATGTTCTAAACCTTCACTCGTCATAATTTTCTACAACAACTAATCATAGACCAACAACACTCAAATAAATCTCAATCGTATCCAACCATCTCTTTTATGGTCTTCAATTGTCATTACAACTCTTGCTGCTTTTATTTCCTCTTATCTCATCACACGTTTAAATCATCCT